CTGTGACCTGTGGGATGTTGATTTGATGACATCTTTTTGTAATTTTTAGTAACTTGTGATTTTGTGTTGACTAGGATCAAGTTCATTTGGAGCATTTTATTGATCAGCAATATCAAGCTAAAGTAAGCGATAATTAGTTTTTAAAAAATCTTTTATTCTTTATTGTGTAGCCCTAACTGCTGTGGATAAGTTTCATGAATGGTATTGTCAAATATGTCCTTAGTTCTAACTTAGTTTGGATGGAGTTCTCAACTGCTAGCTCAGTAATCCTAACTATTCGATTGTCGTCTGAACTACCAAATTTATAATTAAGCGGACTCGCCAACAGTTCAAACAACTCATTTGTACTTCACAACACTTATGCAGTGGGTTCGGAAAAGTACTTGAGACAACTTATCTTGTAGTTCCAACTACTAGGGATTAGACAAATTGGCTGTTGAAACTGAGAGAAACCACCAAACATTCACATGCAAATGGAAACAAACATCAAAATAAATCACCAGCCATTTGAAATGTCTCTCCGTTTAAGGCTGAAGATAGGGAACATAAACAATGGTTTTTCCTTAGTTAAAAGATGATGGGAAGAAAAGAGAAGATAGAAAGTTTTATTAATGAAGAATCGAGGGCATTGTTGAGCTTAAACAAAAATGGGACCTTCGCGTTTGAAATGAGAATATAAGGTGTTGGAAGTTGCAAAACATTTAAGACAAAGGCCCAAGGAAATAGTAAATGAGGTGAAATGCTATAAGTGATGTATATCACTGACTCACTCGTGATTTGCGCTTAGGCCAAAAATAGAATTGAGTAGTATAGTTGTTTTGTTACTGATAGTTCGCGCTTAGTGGTTTATTATTTTGACTGAGAACTGGAACCTTATTGGAGCTCTAGTTGATAATGCTTGTTGTTGGGAAATGGGGATTTCACAAATGGATTTTATATACAACTATTTTGAGCTGTTTCTAATGTTCTTCTACATCACTTCCATTATCTCAATTTATGGAAGCATGCACATTGTACTTATTTAATAAGTTTTAGAAGCAAAAGGGTTTTATATGCTTCCATAGTTATATCTATGACATAAGCAACCTCTGGAACTACTGTTCACTATAGTGATCTTGGTTTTGATTCTGGAAGCTTAGATGCTCGGCATTCTAGCTGCTCCTTTTGGTTCTACTTTTGAGGAAAAGAACCACTTGTTTATATTGTGGATTGTTTAGGAAGAATATTCTCAAGATCTGGCCTTAGATAAAAGAATGGAAAGATAGAAACCGCACTATCCTCCAAAATTTCAGATAATTCTTTGATGAATGATGTAACACCCCGTTTTATTTTAAAGGATTTACCAAAAATTATTTATAAAAATCAGAGTTAATTTTTCGCAAAATGTCAAATTAATGTTTAAAACTCAACGGGCGCTACTTATCTACCAAGAATAATTAAAAAAAAAAATACAACACATAGATTAAACCTATACATGCATAACTTACAGTTATAAAATTTAAACTAGCATTCATTAAGTTCCAAAACATAATTCCAAGGTTCAATCCGACATAATCAACTTATTCCAAAACAAAGCAGGGAAATAAATCCAAGTCAAAGTAACAGTTCATCAACATCATAAATAAGTGGAAGCATAAGTTAATGAGAACATAATTGACCAATGACCATCATTCGTTCGTCCTTACGCCACCGCCACCAGCTCAGCTCAACCTAAAGAAAAGGAAGAGGACACAACAGAAAAATAATGGGGGTGAGCAAAACCATAAAGATTTAAAAACAATAACACAGTATGCATAGAATCCAAGGTCTAACTCCCTACATGGCCCTATCGTAAACCTCCTATGTACATACAACAACCTTCTGATCACAACACTGCAAGGAACTAACTGGAAACCTTCTCATCTTCGAATACAACGGGCCTGGGATCTTTTCCAGGAGATAGTAGAGCTGTTTTTCCCCTTCACGAATATCATACGGACCGGGGCGTCCACCTCTCGAATCAACTACGGGCCGGCGACCTCTAACTGTTCATGCATTCCTCAAAGGCATTAACAAACGGGACACTTAGACTAAGGTTCTCACGCATACAGCAATTTTTGAACGAAACATTTATATGAAATAATAAGTGCAATAAATGTAGATACAACGTAAATGTACCCACCTGGTTGAAGCGACAAATCACGAATACAAGTCTCGAATGCAGGTTGAGGTCAACATCTCAAAACACCTACATTAAGTCAAGATACTACAATCAACATTTTATCTTGACCTAAAAAGGAAATCACAATCAGACTTCGTCGAACTTGATTCAACTAAGTTGTTCGTGAAGTCCTGTGGACATCTTGGACTTAGACTCGACCAAACCAAATATGGAAGTTCACACAATTTCACATAAAAGAGGGTAATCCAAACAAGTCACAAGAATAACATGCGGGCCGGTTCTCATATTTTAACACAATAAACTACATAATGAAATAATTGCCGAGAAAATCACATATTCAAGATAGTCCAGCAACCCAACGAGTTAGGCTCTGAAATTTTAACACAAAATTTACCTCACTGGAATAAGTCAAAACACCATATTTCAGCCCTTAACTCAAAACACACGATTTTATAAAATTCAAACAATTTTACAGCAAAAACAAGCATAAATTTACAACCTGACCTAATGCACGAATTAAGACTTGAAATTTTAACACAAGTAGCTACGGAATGTGAGTACTAATATATAAAAGTTTTAGCTATTAACATGAAACACACGAATTATAAAATTTAAAACAAGATTCTGCAGAATTTGAATTTTCAACAAAACTGCAGCAAAATGAACCCAATTAAATCTTATTTTTTTACATCATGAAACACATCATAAAATGAGCCCAGACACCAAAATTCAGCAATTTATAACAATAAGTCGATTTTTCATAATTAAATCAAGGTTCTGCAGAATATTTCAAACAATATTTAACCCTAGCAAACGAAGTCCAAAAATCATGAAATTTTTACACAACATCAAAATGAGTCAGGGAGATAACATATTCGAATTTCAGCATTTTTGGAGCACAACTCAAATTGTTATGATTTTCCTATATTTCTGACCAGAAATCAAAATCTACATTTGACCATGAAATACACTGAAATAAATCCCAAATTTTTACCACATACATATATAACACAAAGGAGAAACATATCCAAAAATAAGAATTTTCGACCAACAGCTCGAATTATCATAAATTTTACAAATTCCCGCAGCATCATAGATTTCAAAAATTCATAACACTCAATCTAAAATTCAAATGGACACAAGGTCAAAACCATTATTTCAAGGACATCCCTAAGTTCCAAATTTCATAACACTTCCACCTTTAACAAGGTCTCTTTCGATTTCACAAAAATCGAAGAGACTACTACGTAAAACAACTACAAAAGAGGCTATTCATAACCATTTATCAACAAGGCTCAAATAATAGGTATGACATATGAATAACCACATAACATAACAACATAAATCGAACTTAAAGAGTTTGAAGATCAAGCCATCGATACCGCTCTCGGGAAAGACGTTCGAAAACGGGACGAAAGAAGTGAACGGGAACGACGGCTTGAACGGCGGCGCTTGGCGGCTATGCGCGGCTCGCGAAAGGGGGCATCGACTGAGGATGGCGGCTCATGGAGGAGCTGTGCGGTGTTCTGCTCGCCACTAAGGTACTCCGATGCGAAGGAGACGCTCGTCGGGTTGCTGCGCGTGACTGAGGACGGCGGTTGTGAACTTGCAAGGGAGAAGGGCTCGTCGGAAGAGTGCAGGGTGCATGGTGGTCGCTTGCGGAGGCACTGCTGGTTCGCGGGCATGCGAAGGAGGTCTCGCGGTGGCTCGCCGGAGTTGTTGTTGTCGCGGAGGAAGGGCCTGCAAGCGGAGGGGGAGCGGCGACTTGCTGGTTCTCGACGAGGGGTGGCGATCGGAGTTGCAGGGAGAGAGAGAGAAGGTGTGGTGATGGATTTGAGCGAGAGAGAGAGGAGAAGTTGCGGCGATGGATTTAGGCGAGAGAAAAGAGATTGAGGGCGAGCGGGGCGGCTTTGACGAGAGAGATAGGGAACTGCGGCGTGTTTGATTGAGAGAGAGATAGTGAACAGATAACCTAGAATAGGTTTACAAGTCTTGGCGAGCAAGAAAAATAAATCACACGCACACACGCACAAGAGGGAAANAAATCTGATAATATATATATATATATATATACGACGCTCGAAAAATAAATTACGACATCCGGAAATATTAATTATTCTGGTAATATATACATATATATTTAACATTAATATGTACATATATAAAGCAACTAATAACATCACTTTGGAAATTACATAAAATAAATAAATATTAATGCCAATAAAATATCCGAAAAATATGATAATCGAACGGGGCATTACAAATGACCATAAGATTGAACAGCCACACAATCTTCATGTTTGAAATATAATCGACTCCTTTTAGTGTGCCATCTAATTAAATGATAAGAAGAATTTTGTAATTCTTTTACAAAGGAATCACCTCAAGTTGGAATCTTACCAAATCAGAGTGGCACGTGGCTTCTGCTTGTGCTGTTTCTGTTCTTGCTAATCATTCTCTTGTAGCAGAAGGAATGGTTCTTGGTTATTATACAACGAGCAACAAGCAATAAAATAACCAATGGGGGATATCTGTCTTGCTGATGTCTGCAGTGTTTCTATATACAGTTTTTATTTTGTAATTTTTTTTTTTGTTTGACGATTTACATATATGCATTGATATAACAACTTGGTTAGCTTTATGGTTTGATGTTGTAGTTCTTTCTATTCACACAACAGATATGATGATTGTTTTGGGACTGCATTGAAGCTTTTCCTCATTTATTATTTTTCATTAATCTTATTTTACCAGTGTTTTTTCCTCTCTTCCTTCTCTCATGAGGGTGTTTATGAAACGTTCAAAGAGCTTATGAGAAATCCAAATTTTCTTCCAAATCTAGAATTTCACTAAATACTACTCGCAGAAATGCTTCAGAGGGAGAAGGAAGGTGGAGGTTGAACGCTGCAAAACCCGTGAAAAGTTTTTCTTGACCTATGGGCAGTATTGTCAAGATGTCAATAGGTGAACAACTGGATTTATTATTTATTTATTTACTTCAAGTTTTGCGGCACTGCAGTTGTTAATGCGATTGTATCAATGACTTCATTAGTTTCTTTTGATGTATTTGTTGTGTACATTAAATATATATTCCTGTTGCTATGCTGATGGGCTTCATCCTATGTTCATAACTGCATCTTGTCTCGCCCATATTCAGGCAGTGCTTTGGCCCAAGTTCGATTTTTCTCAGCCAGCTTCTTTTCTTCTTTAACCCAATATATGTGGCTGACTTTTCTGCCTTTGTAGAGACATGTCGATTGCTTCTTGAATTTTCTCATGATAGTGTTGAGTTACTTGGTTACTTTGTATCTCCTATGTTTATGTTACACATATGGACGCATAAAGTTATTTATGAACATGATTGTGACATGATTATTATTATCTGTGTCCTGGTAGCTGCTATGCTGACAGGTATCTTTTGCATCCTTGTGTTTTCTTTCTGTATCACTTTTACACCCGGGTTCCTTTTGCTTCTTCTACATTATCTGCTTTATGTATCACCAAGCTTACATGAAATCAAGATTTTGTGATGGACGTTTACTTCTTGGGCTAAATGTGCGGCTGTTATATTTTTTAGTAGATTTTTATCTTCCTGATGGCTTCTGCTTTTGCTTTGCTTTTCATGTATGTTCTTATTTCACTGATAATAGCTTGATCTTGTTTTCCATTATCTACTCTTTCAGATGGGGAAGTAGTGTGTTGGAATGACGTCATGTTTGATGACATCGGCAAAGCCACGTACTCAGTCTGCATGGCATAGCAGCTCATGCAAAGAGACAAAAGGCTCTAATGGTTTTGGCAGCTCCAATGATGAGGAAATGAGCTGTCATTGAAATTCAAAAATTTTGTCTCATTCTTTTGTCCTTGCTAATTCTTATCCAATTTTATCTAGATCCATCTACTTATGGCTATATATATGTAAGGGGTGTTTTCCCAATTCTGTAGAGAAAATATACAGAGTTCATATTGAATACAAAATGAATATCATCATTTGGCTTTTCTTTTTTTTGCTTCATGTTGCATCTTTGACATGGTATCAGAGCGGGTTTCTTAAACCTGTCTCTGATTCATGAATCAACACCCTTTCCATTTATCATATTTACTAGTCTTCTTCCTCGTTCATCATGTCCACCATTAGTGATTCCACCTCTGCTTCCCAAATGTCTCTTATTCAGCCTCAAAGCCAAATCTTAGCCACCAAACTCATCACTGCTATTCGAGGTTATGGCCTCGAGGGCTTCATCACTGACCAGAAAACACCTCCAGAACGCTTCATCTCAGTCACAGATGCTCAAGGATCTACAGCCATCAGCCCAAATCAAGATTCTGAGACATGGCAAAGACAAGACCAACTCTTGGCTTCATGGATCTTGTCCTCTCTCTCTGAAAATTTGCTGGTACTCATGGTTGGTCTAGAAAGCTCAAAAGAGATGTGGGATGCACTATCAGTTAACTTTGCCAGTCAATCTCAGGCCAGAAAAATGCAGTACAAGATGGAGCTGCAGAGCCTTAAAAAGGGTTCCATGACTATGAGAGACTATCTTGGAAAAGTGAAATCTTGCTGTGACATTTTGGCTTCCATTGGTGAAAAGGTGTCTGATGAAGACCAAATCCTACACATCTTTGCTGGTCTCGGTCAAGAGTACAACCCAGTGATGATATCTCTCACCTCAAGGCTAGAACCCTACTCTTGAAGGGATGTTCATCCTTCTTATTGAGCTATGAGGCTAGATTGGAATCTTTCCCTACTGTGGCCACTATAAACTCAGAGAGTTCAAACCCTGCTGCAAATCCCTCTGTTCAGTCTGGCCCTCAACAAGATAAGAGAGGATATGATCATCAAAGTGGCAGAGGAAGGTTCAATGGTAACAGCCGTGGGAGAAATGGGAGAGGCAGAGGTTCCTATAGAGGAAGAGGTGGAAGAGGTGGAAATGGCCCAAGGTTTGTTTGCCAGGTGTGCAATAAAGAAAGTCACTCAACAAATAGGTTCTACTACCGCTATGATTCCAGCTACAATGGTTTTCCTCCTCAGAAGGACTTCAATGCTCAAAACCAAGCTCTCTATGCAAGTAGCACTTCTGGAAGTTCAAATTGGCCTGCAATTGACTTTCAAACTGAAGCTAGGTATCTTGATTCAAGGGAAACAAATCACATTACAAATGATCTAGGGAATCTAAGTGTTGCAAGTGAGTATCATGGAGGAAACATGCTGCAAGTGGCCAATGGTGCATGTTTAACAATTCTTCACATTGGTAGATCTTTGATAAATTTTGAGTTTCAAAATTTGGCACAAACCTTCTACATGTTCATGCAATAACCAAAAATCTTTTGAGTGTTTCTCATTTTGCTAATGACAACCAGGTCTTTTTTGAGTTTCACCCTAATTTTTGCCTTGTGAAGGATATAACAACAAAGGAGATCCTACTCAGAGGGAAGCTTAGTGATGGTTTATACACTTACAACCTGCCAAGACTAACATCTTGTTCCAAGAATCAGTCTACTTCTTTGAAGAAAGTCCCTTTTAAGAATTTTCAGCTAGTCTAGCTTCTGTTAGGAAAGAAAGACTTGATGTTTGGCATTTTAGAATGGGACATGCTCCTTTGAGTGTGATCAGAAAAGGATTAGATCAATGTAATGTTCCCTATTCTGAATCAAATAAAGTTGAAAGTTTGTGTGAAGCTTGCATGAGGGCTAAAAGTAAAGTTCTTCCTTTTGGTACCTCACTTTCTGAACATCATCAACCATTATCTCTTATGCACAGTGATCTGTGGGGGCCTTCCCCAATTAAGTCCAAAAATGGCTTTTCCTATTATGTTAGTTTCATAGATCATGCCACAAAATGCACATGGATCTATTTCTTTAAAAACAAAAATGAAACCTTACAAGCTTTTCAGCACTTCAAAAACCTGATAAAAAACCAACTTAACCAAAAGATCAAAATCCTTCAAACAGATGGGGGTGGTGAATTCCAAGCTTTACAAAGTTTGCTTGACACAAATGGCATTCAACATCGATTTTCATGCCTTTACACCCCTCAGCAAAATGGTGTAGCTGAGAGGAAGCATAGGCACATCATTGAAGTAGGTCTCTCCTTGTTAACACAATCCAATTATCCAAGGATTTTTGGGATGATTCTTTTGCCACAGTGGTCTACATCATTAACAGAACCCCAACCAAACTTCTTGATTTCAAAACACCTCTTGAGAGACTCTACAAACACAAACCAAACTATAGCATGATGAGAGTTTTTGGATGCCTTTGCTATCCTCATCTTAGAGCCATGAATAAACACAAGCTTGAATTTAGATCTCAGCCTTGTGTTTTTCTTGGATACAACTCTAAGTATAAAGGTTATAAGGTTTTACTACCAAACAGAAAGGTCATCATCACTAGATATGTCCTCTTTGATGAGAAAGTTTTCCCATTTCAAACCAAAAATCTTACTGCTATACCCCCCATTTCATCTAAAATTACCCTACCAGCCCCTCCTCTCATTGTTACCAAACCTACCACTGACTAAAACACTTCCTCCTCACCTTCTCATCTTCATACACCATCTTCCACTCATTCCACTTCACCCACTTCTTCTTCTCATACAGTGTCTATTTTTAATTCTTAGAATTTGTTCATTGACTTACATATTGAAGATTATGCTCCTCCTAACCAACCTGCAGCAGGTACACACCATATGGTTACCAAGTCAAAAGTGGGTACATATAAGCCCAAAGTCTTCACTGCTCATGCTCAACTTCACAGTGAGCCACACAGTTTTCAAGAAGCCAAAACTCACACTTCTTGGATGGCTGCCATGTCCAAGGAATATGAAGCTCTTCTTGCTAATGGCACTTGGACTCTTGTACCTAGACCATCAGGCAAGGCAGTAGTAAGCTGCAAATGGGTCTACAAATTAAAAACCAACTCAGATGGTTCCATTTGCAGATACAAAGCTAGGCTTGTGGCTAGGGAATTCACTCAAACTCTTGATCAGGACTATGACGAAACATTTAGTCCAGTTGTAAAACCCACTACCATTAGGGTTATTTTTTCCTTGGCATTATCTCAGTCTTGGCATCTCAGACAACTGGATTATGATAATGCCTTTCTCAATAGCCAACTCACAAATGAGGTTTATATGGAACAACCTACTGGCTTTGAAGTTCAAGGGGGGTGATTATGTCTGTAAACTTCACAAAGCCATATTTGGGCTTAAACAAGACTCCAGAGCTTGGTTTCATACTCTCAATGCAGCGTTACTTGATCTTGGATTCAAGTCTTCAAAAGCAGACTCCTCCTTATTTTTCAGATTCACAGATAAGTCTTGTGTGGTTCTTCTAATAAATGTTGATGATGTGATAGTGACTAGAAATGATGAATCAGAGATCAATAACTTCATTTCTAAGCTTAGCAAAAGGTTTTCCTTGAAGAATATGGGCATACCACAAAGGTTTCTTAGGATAGAAGTCACTGAAGTTTCTGATGGATTGCATTTCAAGCAAGAGCAGTATGTGAAGAGTCCCTTGAGCAGGTTAAACATGGTTGAAGCAAAGAGTTTGAGCACACCTATGGTGTCATCGCCTCTCTTATCAAAACATGATTGCACAGTTTTGTCTCAAGAAACCTTGTACAGAAGAATTGTTGGTGCTCTTCAATACATTGTGATCACAAGGCCAGACATAGCTTACAGTGTGCACAAGGTCAGTCAATTCATGCAATCACCTACTAATGTTCATTGGAAAGCAGTGAAGAGGATTCTAAGGTATCTAGAAGGAACCATGAATTATGGATTGCATTTGGTGCCATCAAAGGACCTACACATCACTGCATATTCAGATTCTGACTGGGGAGCAGATCTTGATGATAGAAAATCTATATCAGGATTTTGTGTTTTTCTTGGACAAAATCTTGTATCCTGGTACTCTAAGAAGCAGTTATCAGTCTCTCGGTCAAGTACTGAGGTTGAATATAGGAGTATTGCACATGCTTTGTGTGAAGTCAGTTGGATTCAATCAATACTCTCAGAATTAAAGATCTTGTAGCCTAGGATTCCTCTTTTGTGGACAGATAATCTGAGTGCAGTTCACTTATCTCCCAATCCTGTTCTTCATGCTCAAACTAAACATGTGGAAATTAATATTCACTTCATCAGAGATAAGGTGTCCTCAAATCAAGTCACAATTCAACATATACCAGGTTATGAACAAACTGCTGATGTTTTGACTAAGCCATTGTCGAAGCAATTCTTCACTCGGTTCAGAGATAAAATGAGATTCATCCTCTTTCCCGGTTTGAATTGAGAGGGCTTGTTGGAATGACGTCATGTTTGATGACATCGGCAAAGCCACGTACTCAGTCTGCATGGCATGGCAGCTCATGCAAAGAGACAAAAGGCTCTAACGGTTTTGGCAGCTCCAATGATGAGGAAATGAGTTGTCACTGAAATTCAAAAATTTTGTCTCATTCTTTTGTCCTTTCTAATTCTTATCCAATTGTATCTAGATCCATCTACTTATTGCTATATATATGTAAGGGGTGTTTTCCCAGATCTGTAGAGAAAATATACAGAGTTCATATTGAATGCAAAATGAATATCATCATTTGGCTTTTCCTTTTTGCTTCCTGTTGCATCTTTGACATAGTGAGCCTCTTTGAAAGCACGGATTAGTCATCAAATCGTGGTTTAGTAGCTTACCGGATTAAATGCCTTGCTTATGCATGCATTAGTGCAATCTACGAAAATAGGTCTGTTTCTTGGGGGCTCAAGTGGCTTATGGTTCTCCAATGTGGCTTATGGTTCTGCAATGTGCATTACACATTTCCTTCCACCCAAAATTTTGTTCCACCTATCTTGTTATATTCAAGTCAGAATTTGACTAAACAAGTCTATATTCTATGGTGACGGATTATTTATATCAATCTCATATAACCACTTTCTTTTCTAGATATTTAACTAGACAAGACCTAATTCATGGAAATCAATCTTATCTACGGCTGGTTCAACTATTATTTATATCACATGGATTTGCTTTTTTGTAGGCACTGTGGCAGATTCTTTGGCTCAATCCAAATGCGACTCCCAACTTCTCAAATTGCGCTGATGGTCCTGCTACTATCAGGAAATACCCTAAAGAATTTCTTCAGCACAGGTTTTCGGTTGTTGCTTCTGAGCTCATGTCACAGGTAGTTTATTCACATGCGATGAGGTTTACAAATTTGATCATGCTCTTGAAATTCTATTTACTTTTATCTTCTCAACTTTAATTACGTCGAAAGTGAAAAATATCCACCATTTTCTTAATTGGTTTGATTGCAAATAAAACCATGGCCTTTTCGAAATTTGCAATTTTATGCACGATTTTTAAAGTTGGCAAATATATGCACCACTTTCACTTTTCTTGGCAATTCTATGCAGAATGCCCAATTAACGCTGTTGGGGTTTGAACTCGCGACCTCAAGGTAGTATTTTGACATTGTAACCACTACACCAATACAAGTTATATGTCCAACTTAATACCGTTTAATATATAGATACAATGTACGAATAATAAAATCAAATATAAAAGATAATGTAAATTATATTTAATAATATTAATAACATATAAACTTATAATAATTAAAATATAATAAAATAAATTGTATATATTAAATGCAAAAAAATAAATTAAAATAAAGTAAGATAAAATTTATTATAGTAGAGTGCATTAAAATTAAATTACATTTAAATATATTTATATATTTCTTATTTTATTAAAATAAAACTAGTATATAAATTTAAAAATAAAAAATAATAATGATAAAATTAAATTAAAAAATAAACTATATTAAAACACCATTTAAAATAAAATAAAAATAATATAATATTATAAAATAAATTATAAAAATTGTAAAGTAAAATAAACTGTATAAGATAATAAATCAAATAACTTATTATGAAATAATAAATTAAAATAAATAAAAATATTAAATGGAAATAGTAAAATAAAAAAACATTATTTCATTATAATATTTTTAATATAATATTAATAAAATATTTATTATAATACAATCAACTAATTTAATAAATTATTTATTAAATAATTTATTAAATTATTTGAAAATAGTATAATAAATATTTAAATTTATTATATTAAAAAATAATATAATGAAATAATATTTTTTATTTTATTATATTAATTTAATAATTTTATTTATGTTAATTTATCATTTCATAATAAGTTATTTAATTTATTATATTATTTATTTTATTTTACTTTACTATTTTTTATACTTTATATCTTATATTATATTATTTTTATTTTATTTTAACTTGTGTACTTTAGTCTAGTTTATTTTTTAATATAATTTTATCATTATTATCTTTCATTTCCAAATTTATTTAACTATTTTTATTTTAATAAATAATAAATATTTAAATATTTTTAAATTTAATTTAATTTTAGTGTACTCTACTATAATAAATTTTATCTTACTTTATTTTAATTTATTTTTTCATCTAATATATATAATTTATTTTATTATATTTTTATTATTATAATTTTATATCTTATTAATATAATGAAATATAATTTATATTATCTTTTAAATTTAATTTGATTGTTCATACGATATGCGTATATATATTTAACGCTAGTAAATTAGTCATACAACTTGTATTGGCACTAGTGGTTATAGTACCCATATAAGTCCATGAGGTCCCAAATTCAAATTTAAAAAATGTCATGTTTTTATTTGCAATTAAGCCTTTTTAATTTCTCTAACATAGAAGACTTTTATTTTCTAGTTGCAAGACTGGAATAACAGGAGCGAATTTACGTCCACAAATGATTTCAACACGGATGGCGGCAGTGATTCATTTATGTCTCAGGTAAAATGTTCTGTTCGCTTTCTTTGATGTCCAGAAATTAACACCCCAACTGACTGGCCATTAATGTGCGATTCTACCAGGCTATGATGGAGAATACCAGAGCGAATGACATTTTAAAACAAGCTCCTTTCTTGATTCCATTTACGAGCAGATAGTGTTAGTGTTCTGGGTCACTGTATTTTTTAATTTCATTTTCATAATTGAGTGCTTAATTATTGTTACGTCGTTTATGAACTCTCGGCACCTAGATTTATATTCCATCTCCATTATTGAATGGTAAACTGAACTTGCAGTTGCAACTTGCGCTGGTGATCATAATTTTATCACTACAACCAGATACAAAATAAGAAGAGATCATATTAATTTTTTAGGATGCTTTTAGCCAATTAAATACGGTAACTGAAGGTGTTCTTCGTGGAGTGGTGAGTTTCTCATTCCTTGCTATTCTTCCTTAACGGGTATAATAATGTCAGGGAAGAAATTTTTCTTCACTCATTTGTTGATATCTTCTGTTCTGTTCTGCTTTAATATTTTCAGATTCGAATAACCTTTGTTAATGAATTTGTAGCCGAGGAGGCAGGCATCGATGGTGGTGGGATTTTCAAAGATTTCATGAAGAACATTAATTACCCGTGCTGCATTTAATATGCAGTATGGACTATTTAAGGTTGTGATTGTACATAATGATAATATTTTCCTAGCCGGCCACAACCTCTTCTTTGATGTCATGCATAGATATTGATCTCTAGTTCCTCAGTACTGTTGGTAACTAATATGTACTATATGAGTTGTTAGAGGATGCCTGCGACTGTTTCTGAACATGAAGCTTCTATGTTTGCATGCATTGCAATGGGCTTTGGCTTTATTTATAGATATGTCTATCTACTCTACCAGATGTTTTCTTTTAACGTGCATTTCATATTAAACCTTCTTATAGATCATTAGACTAGGACGAATGTTCGACGGATATTCTCTTGATTGTTTAATGTAACTCAGTTGAATCAAACCATGTAACTGCTTGCTATTGCCTCAATTTTGATGCCAAATTTAGGCCTTTTATGTGACACCTGTCCAACATTCAAGTTATGATGTTCGTGGAAAACTTTAATGACTCTGATTGAATTTCTTATGATTTTAAATAGGATCCTTTGTTTGATAAAAATGGGTGCACTAATCTTCTTTCATTTTTATATTAAGACGAAGGATCACCATCACATCATTTTTTTTATTTTTATTTTTTCTCGTTCATACTTTTGCATGGAAAATTAATTCCACTTACGAATCGACATATTGCATTCAGTTCGCTGCATGCTTAAAATTTTACTCCATCGATGTTTAAGCTTTGTAGCTCAGTGTCCAAAATTTTCTCCTTTGATGTTTTAGCATTGTAGTAACATGATTTATTTTATGTAGGCAATGTATGAAGGGATTTTGGTCGATATTCCATTTGCGACGTTCTTCTTAAGAAAATTGAAGCAGAAGTAAGTAGTTCTTTGAAATCATTGACTGTACTAGGGACAAATTTCCTGAAACTGGGTCTCCAGTGACTTTTTCCTATGGGCCATTTTCTCCTTTGATGTTTTAGCATCTATATATATATATAATAAGAATTACTATTTACCATAAATAGTAACTAGAAATTTTAAGACAACATTAATTGTTTACTATTTTTGGATTTTTTTTCTTTTTTTTTTTAACATTAATCCTTATTATCATTTGACTTAGGCGGCCTAAAAAAATAATATTTAATTTGAAAAATTCAAATCAAATCGTATCCTAAAAATTTGTATTTTTGTTATATCCCTCATAATACAATCCCATATCAATACCATTTTTGAATTTATTTTCTTTAAACATACAACAGAAACAGTATCCACTTACACAATTTATGCCTTCCTAAATTTAAGTAATTTGTTGGTCCCCAAATTAGTGAAGATTCCTTGCATGAAGGATTTATACAATTTTGAAAAAATTGGGAACTTGGTATAAACCCATCACATACGATATTGGTTTTGGAATTTGAATTTTCAAATTTCTTCCATATACATACGCAACTATTCACTTCCTAAAATTAATTAATTTGTTGAATCAAATACGATATTGTGGTCCGCCAAAGTCAGTGGAGATATTTTTCATAAAGACTTTTTACAATTTAAAAATATTAGGACTCTTGGTATAAACATTTTGGAAAGCCTTTTTCACAAAATAAATTTGAGATGGATTAGGAATTTCAAATCAATTCAAATTCATCTCTGGCTACAAGTTAAAATTTTTCGAATTTTATTTTAAGAATAAAATTTATGGTTTCAAACTCGAGATAATGAGTTTGTAAATAGATAAATATTTTTTTTTATTTTCTAAAATATTTATTAAAATAATAAATTTTATGATAAAATAATAAATTAAATATTATACCAGAATATGTAAAACTATTATATTAGTATACTAAAACTATTATATTAATATGTAAAACTATTAAAGAATAAATATATATACTAAAATCAAATTTATATTAGTATCAACGTTTTAGCGAGATAATATATTAATTAATTTACATACTAGAGCTAATAATTAATTTACATACTAGAGCTAATAGGTTGAGGTTTAACGTTATGACTAAAAAAATAACGATGATCAAAAGAGGTGTAAAATAGATGATCTAACTCTTTTTTTTAAACCTAATGGACAGGCCTTCTGGAAACTCAAACCCGTGCATCGCAGGGGCTACGTACTAGTTGTAGTAAACAGGGGCGGATCTAGCAAATATAATGAGGGGGGCCTAATTATTTAATAAAAAAATATAAAATATTATAAGAAAAAGTGCAAATACAAAAAACATACCTTCATAGTTGTTCTTTACGAGTTTTCATCGCCTGATATCGCTCGAGAATAACATCATTACCAATTTTCAAAAAGGTTTCCTTTTCTACATAAACAAGTAGTCTATCATTTAACCAATCATCACTCATTCGATTGCTCAATCTATCCGTAATAATATTCATTGCGGAAAATACTCGTTCCACACTAGCTGTTGCAACCGGTAAGACCAACGCCAAAGTTAAAAGTTTGTAAACCAAAGGAAACACTTTGTGCTTCTTCGTCTACACCAACTTTTCTGCAACTGATCCTCGAGAATGAGAACATCGGATATAGAAAAGTCCTGAGGATAAAACACGGCCATCTTGACTAATTTTCCCTTGTCGAAAGCAGAAAAAGAATCTCGTGGAGATAAACAAGCTATACAAAGTAGCAACTCCGTACTAGCCTCCGAGAAACGATCACGTAACTCTTGTAATTGCAAATCAATCACAGCACA